TAAGTTTCTACGATAAATTCTGTTCTGACATGTTCTACAAATAACAGTAAGGTTAGCTCAGCAGATTTACAAAAACATGGTCAAATCACATGAAGAGGGCTTGCAGAAGGTGTCATGTTTTCAAACTTGGTCTAGCCAAGAAGTGTCTTAGTATGGATATCCTAAGTTCAACATTAAGGGTGGAATGAAGAAAGGCATGGAAAAATCTGTTCTTGTATAATGCATTGAATTTAGAGAAATGCAGAGCTCCTTGCTGTGCCAAGCATGATGTGAAGATAAGTAGCTCTCTCCTCACTAGTGTGATTATCTCCACTCAATTCATGCAGATGTTATATCAGGAAAACAGACGTGAGAATCAAGATGGATATTGTTTGCATCAGCTATATAAACTTTCACCACCTAGACTACAGTATTTAGATTTCAGTTCACTTAAACAGTATTTTAGAACTGATCAAAATTAGTATCAAGCTTAACAGTAAGTTGTGGCTTACACAGAAGTGCAACTTTATTCTTGCATTCCTCCACAATTTTGCCCTTCCTTACAACTCCTCACATTCACGTAAAATATGTAACCAGATTCATTGCTCCTGGTGAAGGTTTGTTTTTTTTTTAAACTGAATTTTTGCACAAGAAATTCTAGTTCATACATGAGAGAATTTGCCTTTTTGCTTTTCTTAAAGCATACCTTCTTTAAAACACTTAAAATTCAAGGTTTTCCTTCAGCCAATACACACACACACAAAAAAGCCCTCAAACAAAAACCACAAACCAAAACATCAGAAGAGACTCCATGCTTGTTGTTTCCAATTTTCTGAAAAATAGCAATTGTTGCTCTGCAAGAAAATTTCTCACTGTTCTATAGAATGTTAAGAAAGACTAACAAAGTACTACTGCAGCAAGGAACCCCCACACAAGAATCCTGTAATACCAACTAACACTAGTTATTGCTTTAAAATATAAAAATTAATTTATTTCTCTGGTATTAATGTCTCACTCATTCTTCTTCCCCCAACAGAGTGCATTCCAACAGTCTAAATGGCTCAACTGATAATACATGGAAAAACTCCTTACACATAGGTGTTTCTTTAAGAACTGCCAAATCCTAATTCCTAAATACAGCAAAAGCTGGTGGTGATCACAGTGCCACAGCCAGAACTGCAATCCTTTTGCTGGATCAAGGAGAGATTCTGATGCACTCAGTTACCCAATTTTCCCCTTCATTTCACAGCTAAAAGTTTAACTTAACCACTGAGACAGTACAACACACAGCACTGCTGTGTGACTGTTTTTGCAAACCCACAAGAAACCTATGCCTTCCTCAACAGAAGAAATTCTCTAGAAATACTTTTTAAAAAGTTTTAAAATATCTGTCTACTTAAAAATTATTTCAGCTGCATCCTACAAGACACCTGTGATAATATGCAGACATTAAAGAATGACTTTGCTACAGGAAAAATGAAAGGATTCCCATTTCATTCAGCTGTCAAGTTCTGAGAGTCTGTATCATGTGTGCTCAGATCCCAACACAGCTCACAGAAGTACACCATTGCAACCTGCAGAATGAATGCACATTGATGTGAAGAAACAGAGATTTCAAAAAGCAGCTGTCAACTTGGCATGCTTATCAGAAAGATGTTCAAGTACTGCCCAAGTTCTATTACAAGGAACAGCAAGTCATTGACGAGCCAAAAAAGAGTCCAGCAACAGACCTCAGCTCTGATCAGAGTGCTCCCACTGAATGCACTACAATGAGCAGTCTGCTTCTCAATAGCTACAAATCACACATTACAAATTTATATTAACTGGCACCCTTCACTACAAAGAAAGAAAAGAGAACCCCTGGCAAAAGAATTCCTGCAATTCCTGCAATAGCATCCTTTGCTTTAGAGCCCACACAGGACCCCACAAACACTGCCAAATCATCATCTATGGTCCCATATTGTATTCTCACCTATTTTTGCTGCTGACATACAAGAGTTTTGCTCCTGTCTTGCAATGCCACAATTAATTTTTACCTATGAGAGTCATGCCCCTCATAGGTAGACCCTACTTAAGGATCTAAAACTGACAAATGGGGATACTACACTCCTATGGGATTAAGGGCAATACAGAAAGCATGGAGAATGAAAGACAAGGAGGGGTAACCAAAAAGGAGGAAACTGGAAGAATTTCTGAAAAATAGAAGTCCAGCCCTCTCCCTCAAACTGACTGGGAGATGAGGCACGCTGGCTACAGGCAAGATCTGGACATTTATAGTGCTGCAAGAATTGCTCTTTGCTGTTCACAGAGGGAAGAGGAGAAAGTTGGGGTCCTTCACAAGTATGAAATAAACTCCTCCAAATTCCTTATCCTTTCCCTTGTAATTCTGAATGCAATATAAAAATCACATGAAAGTCTGGACAAAGTTGTGACACAAACTGGAAAAAAGGAAGGTAAGGAAGTCCTGCAGTTGCATAATGTGGGACATATGTAACACTAAACTATGTTGCTAAATGGAGAATAATCCCTAACAGCTCCTTCCTCAAAGCTCATCTCAAAGGTTTGCTGAAGATGTCATTAGGCAAGATTCTTTAGTTTTTGTCATGTGACAAGACATAAAGATGGGTAATCCCTTTAGCATTTTTTTGCCTCAGGTTTTGTAGGCTTTTTTTACACCTACAAATAATTTGCAGTAGGGTAAATATTCACATCTTAAGGTGAGAGTAATTACCTTTAATTTTTAATATGGACTCTAAAATAATGACTTCCAATGACATGGCCAAAAGCAAATTTAGAATTACATATCCATACATAAGGATATATATTTATATCTGCTTTGTGTTTTCATACTCTTTAGGTGGAGTGTATTAATGATGTTCTAAATTACAATTGGCTAAAATCTAAAACACTTGTGAGAGCTGAATTCTTATGAATATACTGTAGGTCACAGCTTATTCTAAGGTTAATTTTAAAGGATCTAGCAAAAGATCATTATTTCAAAAGTACATTTGAATTCTGCTTTGTACCTGCAGTTATGGCAGAGATGTTATTTTTAAATAGGTCAGCAAATGAGGTTGGATAATATTTTTCTAACAAAACTTCATTTTTCACAGAAATGAAATTGACCAAGTCTTGCAAAGGTGCTCACTAATGTGCAATTATTTTCTTGTATTGCTGCCTACATCATACATTGTGAACTATAATTTCCTCTTTTATGCCAACTGATTTTAAAGCATTTTACAGTATCAATAAGATGCTGTACAAATTAACCCCACATTTTACCTGTTTTACGTGAAAAATAGCTACACAAAATAAAAGTAACAGATGTTTTATGTTTACTGTTAGCTTGTGTCAACTTCATCCCACAACAGGCTCCACAAAAAGAGCCTGCCAACAAGTTTACAAAGGTGGGCTGCAGACAGCGGAGTACATTGTTTGCACAACACTCACCTGTAACCACTACTCATAACACACTCAAAGCATGGTCCTGGAGTAAAGCTTACAGGATTGGGTTAGACACCTCCAGAGGTTATTTTCCACCTGAATTCTTTTAGTAACTCAAAAATGCTATTGCAAAAATCCCAAGTTTTTCATAACTGGAAAAGGTGTCATTCAGAGTCACACCTCAAGTCAGATGGCTCATCTCTCCTGTCAAAAGTTCATAATCAAAGTCCTGCTCTGTATCCAGTTTCTAAAGGAAAGCTGACAACATTGTAACAGTCTGCTAATCACACACCCCAAATGAAAGCTGTGGTGGCACAATGGGCAGGTAGCCTCTTAAGAAAACTTCCTAATGAAGAGCATTTACCGTGGGAACTGGGACTGCTTAAGGAACCCACATGAGACTAAAAATAAAAATGAAATGCTCAGAAACCTAATTAGGTCTTGTGAGCCCTCTTTATTACATACATACAACTTTTATGGCGCTTCCTCTCTAACTATTCTCCAAGTACCTTTTCACAGGAAATAAGCACCAGTTATCAAGACACTGAAAAAACTGGAGTCTTTGCAGAGGTGCAGATAACTCCCAGTAATGCCCAGCCCTTACCAATGTTGTATTAAAAACGAAATTTTAAAAAATCAATAAAAAAGGGCATGATAAAGTCTAAATTCATTCTAGTTGCCTAGATCTACCTAAATTTTCACACTAAATGTAAGCATTACAGAGAAAACGTTTTACAGCTTGAGGTTTCAAGACACATTGAAAAAAAATACAAGCAGATGAGCCAGGTATCATAACTATCAGAAAAGACAAATCAGTAACAGCACTCCAAGGAGCAGCGGCTGAACTCTAACTCCTGCCCTTTTACAGTAACACATGGCCAGGGCGATGGGACACACGCCAGTGAGCACATGGGGGATGCTTTTCAAGTACCACAGACACTTTTCCCTCCAAAGGCTCTACTATGGATTTGCTGTTTCCTAGGCCTTACAGAACTGCCAGTAAGGTCACGCCGCTAATGGCAAACACAATCACAGGATAGTCTGAGGTGGAAGGGACCCACGAGAATCATCCATTACGAAAAGTCTTTCATCAAATCAACTCTTTGGAAGAAAATACAGTTTGGCAGGTAAATGAATGCAAGGGAGAGGTGAGCTCTGAATTCAAACCAAGAGGTTTCCCCGTTCCCCTCGCCCCGCTTTTAAAACTTCTCGTAAATGTATTTTTGTCAAGTGGGTTCCTGTTGTTACTTAGGTGCTGGTATTTTCGTTTGCCGCTCCATCGTCTATCCCAGGGCTCAGATCAGAGACTGGACATCACCTCGCTGCAGATTCAGCTTACAAGCAAACCCACCCTCGATAGCAAGCAGGCAAAAGCAGGCACATGGAAAAAAGCGAGTGAGAGTGGAAAACCTGGAAAGTAAATTAAAAGCAGAGAAAGGAAAGGCGGAGAGGGGAAGTGGAAAAAACACCCAAAATCCAACGAAAATGAAGCAGGGTAGGAAAGGAGGGTGGGGGGCTGGCTGTTAGGCAAAATGCTTCAATCCCAGCGTGAGGAGCGGGCTCCGGGAGAGGAGTACCTGGCGTGCCGCCCGCCCCGGGCTCGGTGTCCCACCACGGCTCCTCCAGCGTGTCGCCCATGCCGCCACCGCCGCGCCTGCGCACTGCGCGCGGGGCCGGGCCGGGCGCGCCCCGCGCTGCCGGGGGACGGCGCTGCCCTGGGCACGGCTGGTGCCACAGCTGATACAGCGTCTTACACAATAGTCTTCTCAAAGATAAGGAGGCCTTTAAATGCATGCTGGGGATTTTTAATTTTTTTTTATTTCTTCTTTATTTTTTTTAGTGGAAAATACAGAAGCGAGAGAAAGAGGAAAGGAATTAAAACTATTACCCCAGTTCTTCACAACATTCGCTTAATTGCCTCAACCCGGTTTCATACTGTAAAATCCCAACTTTGTTGGTTGAGGTAATTCACGTAATCTTTTCTGAGGAACAGAGAGGTGCCTGCACGGGGTGCGCGTTCCCTTGGAATGGGTGTTCCCGGCCCTTTGGCAGCGGAGCCCTCAAGGCAAGCGTGCCTATCGTGTATCTCTTCCCGCAGGAGCCGTCCCGCTCAGCCTGGGCCTTACCTGCTGGAGCACATCCCGAGTCAAGGCGTGGAAGTGAAACAGACCAGTGCAAGGACTGGAATCTCTCGTAAGGCGGCACTGTTACTCCGCGTCTAACCCGCTCCAATGATTTTTGTCAACTTCCATTGAAGTATACTATTTTTTTCCCCCTTTGAGGATGCAGGTGGATAGGGAACGTGCATAACAGAGAGCATTAGCGTTGTTCTGCCCAGGGTTGCTAATGGCCGTCACCAAGTGATTTTCAGCTCTTGGAAACTGCGTGAAACTTGTGAATGTCCGTACTCGCGGAGTACCTGTGGCACATTAAACACTGCGGGGGAAATCACTTAATAATCAAACCCACATCTGGCAGAGCAGCTCAGCTTTATGAAAACCGAAAACATTCAAATCTCCGGCAGAGCGACGCCCCCTGCCCGGCTCCAGGGGCGCTCCGCGGCCGCTCCCTCAAAGGCTGCCCCTGCCAGGCTTCCGCGCTTTGCGGCCCGCGCCCTCAGCCCGGCGGCGCGGGAAGGCGGGGACAGCAGCCGGGAAGGGGACGGGCTCCGACGGGAGCGGCCTCGGGGAGGAAACACCTCCCGAGCGCGCTTTACGGCCGGGCGAGCGGGCACGTCAACAGCTATGGCGGAAGGAGAGGAGGCGCCGCCGCCGCCGGGCAGCTGGTGAGTTATGGGGGTGTGGGCCCCCTCCCCTCCGCAGCGGAGCCAGCGCAGAGAGGCCGGAGCGCCCCGCCGCCGCCGCTCTCCCCCGCTCTCCCCCTGGGACGCGACGCGCTCGGGGCGTGTGCGGGGTCGCGCTGGGAGCCCGCCCGGAGCCCCCAGCAAACGTCGCCGGCCCTCGGCGGCTCCGGGTCCCCAAAGAGGAAGGGGCCCGTCAAAACACGGGCGAGACACAAAACGGGGCCCGTGCCCAGTCTGGAGCCAGGCGGTCGCTCCAGTTTAAAATGACAGCTTTAATATGCGGTAGGAGCTGCTCTGAGAGTCTGCCTGGAGTGGAGTTGCTTTGTTCAGTTCAGCTTCCCGTTTCTCTGCATTCCTGCTCTCAGGAACAGTTGACAGGAGTGGGTCCTGCCTCGTTTTCTGAATGATTTTGCGCACTGCCTTCCTTTAGCACAGCTATTACTTATAATGGATTTTACATTGAACCCCTAGGACAAGAATAGAGGCTATTTCTGGAGCGTGTATAGGATCATTTTGATGGTTACAGTGATGTGATTTTAGTATTTGTTGCATGCGTATTCACTCAAGATTGCTGACGCTTAAATAAACATTGTGTTTAAACACTGAAGCTATTCTTGCTGCACCCAACATCTCCATTTGCATCTTCACTTTGTTTTTGTCTTTGTGCTTCTGTGCATGTGATTTCTTTCTGTGGCTCTGTGCCACACCATTGCTCTTTGTCCCTTCCACGTATATGCTTTCCAAGCAATTGCTTTGCAGACCTGCTTTTTATGATCATTTCCAGTCTGAGTTCCAATCATTTCCAAGCTGGTTTTGCTTTTAGGCTCTATTTGATGTGGCAGATTCAAAGTTAGCTGCAGACTGAGTCTAGCCTTCTTTGTGCTTAGTTATGTCACTGTAAAGAAGCCAGAACACACACACAGGTGTATGTGTAAACTCTTCTTTGTCTAGTTTGGTTTTACAAATACAGCTCTTGGTTAAAACAACTTCGTATCATTAGCTAGAAAGTTAGTTGGTGCCATTTTTTATTCCTGTGTTTTTTCTTTTATTTACAGCCTCAAAATTTATGAAGCTCTTTCTGTAAGCACAGTGTTGCATAAGCATTATTTCTAAATAAAGGCGTGCCTGTTGGGCCATTTAATTACAAAGCGAGGGATGGACTCCCTGACAGTGCACTCTCGACACTTTGAATATAACCCTGGACATTAAATAAGAACCATACCTCAAATAACTGAAAAAAATATTTCAGATGGCTTCTGAATAAGCAATAATATTGCTGTCTCCCAGATCACAATCAACTTCTCTAGAATTTTTGTTAAGGATGAGAATGAGTGTGTTTCCAGACACATTTCAAGGCACAGCCTGCATTGTTGATATTCTGATTGGCAGCTTCAAAACTATAGTCAATTTTATATGCTGATGGTACTAGAAAATGCAAACTTGAAGGCATTTGTTAAAACAGATTTAAGTCTTTATGGGAACAATCAAAGAGTTGTGCTTAAACGCTATATTAATATGTGACATGCATCCTGTTACTAGAGGTATACACTGTGAATGACAGAATTGCATTCCTTATTGCTTGCTTAGAAACTTCACGCGGCTTTTGGGTTTTCCTGTTTTGGTTTTTGTTTAAAAACCAGTTTCAGTGAAGTATTTGCTTTTTCATTTATGGATTTAAAGCGTTATCTTGTATTCATATTTCGATGCTGTGAGCACTTGTTGAAAGAGCTTTTTGATGTAAATTACTACACTATCACATTTTGAAGTATATAAGATTTCAAATTTTAAAAATACCCAAACATATAATGATACATATGTATGCCTGAGCTTTATTGGGAGCAAAACTGGCAGTGCTGATCCTGTGTCCTCTCTTAACTTCCTTAGGAGGATTAAAAGGCAGATGGAGTTTTGCAACAGCTCAGAGGCTGTTGCTGCACCTTGAGTGTGTAGAATCCAGATGTCCTGACTAACATAAAATTCCCTCTTTGTTTTCCTTGTGTTAAGTTGTCATGTGATGCTAGTATAAATGATGTGGGTGAGGGGGAAGTGTCACAAACTACTTACAAATTAAACCCCACAAAATTTGTACTGACTGCTTGGTGTTTTGCTCAACAAAAAACAGAGAACTTTGCCACTGCACAATAAAAATTAAAAAGAAAACCCAGCATCACCAAAGTTATGTATAGAGAAAGATGAGAGTAGGGTTTTTTCTTCAGTAAATATAAGAAGTTGTTATCAACACTTTTGATTTAAAAATGAGCAAAATCAGGTAGCCCTTGTTTGCTAAATGTTTCTTTTGAGCTATTTGGCATATACTCAAAAGCTAATTTGAGAAATTGCCAGCACTTTTGTTCTGGAAGACGTCTGTCCAAAGCTAAGAATGCTGTGAAGCACAAAGGAGGCAGGCTACTTTCAAACTGCTGTAAAATATTCTTTTTTTTTTTTGTCTTATTTGTTTATTTTAATCATAATTTCTGTCAGTGCAATACAATGTAGTCAGTAGACTGTATAGACACAAATAAGATGGCTTGTTATTAGTTAAAATGCTTGTAATTTGAAGTTACAGATTTTTCTTGTCTCATTTATCAAGGAAATCGATGATTTGGACCTTATTTTTCTTGTTCAGGTTTTCAAACAGATCAATGGTTATGAATTAATTTCTAAAACCTTTTTGCAGATGTTTGTTTAATACTCAAGCTTCAGGAAACTTGCTCAATTAGTAATTTTTAAGATCTGTACTTGGGAAATCAGGACCTGAAGTAACTAAATATAACTGTAACCACAGATGGAATTGTTCCTGTACATTTAGCTTTGCACTGGAATAACTCATTCTGTGAGTCCCAAAACGCACTGCAAATGCCTAAGACAACTGGGTAACAAACCTGGTTTCCATGTATCTTTCCCATTCTCACAATCTGCCTAATTAGTACTTGGAGCCATAGTATTTCTTCTGAAAGCCCATGAATGGAAAAGTCCCTTCCAGTTAAGCATGAAATTGAAGAAAAAATGTCAGGGAATTGTTTTTCTCCAAAATTTAATTGGAGAATAAATGGTGGTTCAGTGCTGTGCTGGATACAATGGATATTTTGAAGCAAATATGAGGGATTGATTTTTGTTTGTTTGTTTTCAGTAGAGAACAAACACTCATTAATTTAAATTCAATATAGCTCTTGTTGAGGCTTTTTCCTGGGAGTCAGGAAAATCCTGACTTAAAAGTAGGAATGATAGTAATACCTTCTATAAAAGTATGAAATTGATTGTAGTAGTCTTAAGCCTTCATGTAGTTTATTGATCACTTACTATTATCTTTTTCCTGCTGTTCACATTCCCACCCTTTTAATCCCTTCTCTAGTATTTATGAGTGATTTTTACTAAGTATCTCAGTCATATATAAAAAATACTTAGAAAAAGTGGCTTAAGCTGAATTCCCAACAGTTGATCAATTTTTCTTGCCACCAGCTTACGCATCTTAAGTTAAAAAAGGTCCTGTTTAATATCTGTGAAGACAGCTACTTATTGATCATAATATGTCACCAGCCTGGCATGAATGTAAGAGATCCTTCTGTAAGTATGGAAATTTACTGCAGATGCACTAATTGGAGCATTTTGTATTATGACATTTTGAACAGTATATCATGTGGGAATTTACCTTTCAGGCCATGGCTTGGGTGTAGACTGGAATTCCACACATCTAACCAAAATTTTGATTAGCACCTAGAGACAGGCAGTGAAGCCGTGGCAGAGCAGAAAGTACAGATGTTCAGGTCTGGAGGAGAGCTCGCATAGGGAGGAGTGCTGCTTTCTGTTCAAAATAAGTGTAATAATTACCCATATGAACAGAAGACTTCCTAGCAGCTCCTCACTCATGAAAGACAAGGATCCAGATTGCTAGCAGTTCAGCTATGTTCATGTGGAACAACTGACAGAAATAAGGTAAAGCACAGCGAGTGGACGTGTTAAAGTATTGCAATCAC